TACCATATCAGGCTAATGTTAACAGCAGTAAAATCCCTGTCGTGCTCCTGTTTGTTGAGCTAAAGGTTCTTTCCGATGCCGACCTTCCTGCTCTGTTCCATCTCCGATTGTTTCCTTCCTGGCTCCGCTGTAGTCGGTTGTGGATTTCCTGAGACTCTCAGAGTAACAGTTCTGTGGTTATCAAACCCTCACAGACCTGACTCCTGTTTCTGTTCTCTCACTCTTCCTGCTCTTCACTTCTGTGCCCCTGCTTCTTATTTCCCTCGATCCACATCTTTGCTCCAGGAGTAGAGAACAGTAGTAGCAGAGGTCGTGCCCTTTGTCTGTCAACTGTGGTAACAAAAAAGGGTATCTTAACCTTGAAACAGTCTCCCCAAACCTGAAATCCTGTCCTCCTCCCATTCCTGGAATTTCATTCAAGTGTTTTTGTTTGTAGTTGCAGCAATAAATGTGTTTCCTAAATGCGGCTGTCGTTCCGTGGAACTTCTGATCATTAGAGTTGTCCCTGTGTCCCTCAGACGAGGAGCTGCTGATCGAACGCAGCATCCACAAAGGAATGATGAACCCTGGAGAGGAGAAGCAGACGGTGGAGTACAAAAGTCTGGTGGCCAGATTTGAGTACACCGTCCGTGTCCGCTGTGATGAACACTACTACGGCAGCAAGTGCAACAAGGTCTGCCGTCCCAGAGACGACTACTTTGGACACTACGTGTGTGATCAGTTTGGAAACCAGGGCTGCATGGACGGGTGGACCGGACCAGACTGTACAAGAGGTGAGGGCAGAGGTCACTCACAGACTGAGGACTGTTTGATCCAGTCCCGACAATTGTTAACAACCCAATATTGGCCTTTGATGCCACAATTGTTAACAACCCAATATTGGCCTTGCCGTGTTGTGGAGCAGCCATGCACACGGCAAATGCATTCAGTGAAATATCAGTGTCTGTTTTGGTATCAGACATTACATTTAGTATGGAACTATCCCAAGATCTAACCTAAAGTGTTAGACGCTCTAACCTAGAGTGGACATCAAAGCTGGCGTCTGCTAAAGCTCCTTAACCATGAACTGGACCTGTATTAATCTGTTTTTAAACTGCCCTCACCAGTTAGAAATGTTTACAGTGAAGACAAATGTCTGATTCTCTTTTTGATATCTCTTCACATCAGCAATCTGCAGACAGGGGTGTAGTGCCTGGCATGGAACCTGCAGTGCTCCAGGAGAATGCAAGTAAGTCCCAGTTTCTGGATTTTGCTAAACATTGAAGATGATAGCAGCGTTTTCACTCTACACTTGCTTCAAAGCCTGGAAAGTGCTTTTAATTCAGTGACATTTGTTGAGTTACTGAGCTGGATTTACATCTGCCATGGTTTGTTCATCTGCATCTTCACAGCTGAACAACACAGTCCTTACATATTGATGTAAAGTGCTGGAAACACCTTGAATGTGCTTGAGAATTGCTTGTAAACCAAACTCTTGTATGAATCCTGACTAAAGTGCAAGTATCTATAAATGTCAGGAGAACAGGGCTGAGGAGGTTTGTTGATAAGATACCAATCAGCTCCATACAACTCTATAACCCACTCCCCCCACCTCCCCCAGCATCTCCACTCCAGTCCAAAACCATTGTTCTGCTTCCTGTTCCTAACACACTCCCACTTCTGCCCGCACACTGAAATAAGACTGAACTTTGTTTTTAGTCCTTTCTGTATCCTCACTGGCTGCCACCTCCTGCCCCTCACCCCCACCTCCTGCCCCAACACTGCACTCCCACCCTCTGATGTCTGCAGCCCACATCAGCTCTTCCTGTGCCGGCTCTTGTTATGGCTGCTGCACTGATGCTGTAGACTTTAGTGGATTCTGTGACTGTCAAACAGTTATGATGGTATTTAGAGATTGTCAGCATTCCTTGACCTTTAGGTGGTGCTAAGAACAACTTAAAAACCTTTTTACATAATTCTCATATACTGGCAGGTTGTTTTATATAAATCTTATCCTGTAAAATTTTGGTAAGAGAAGCGTTCGGTCTTTTTACAGACTGTCTGCATGTGACTAGTGACACTTAGCATGTAGCCTCTCAATGTACTAGCTTTAAGAATGTTAGCAGTGTTTTATGATGCACTTGTATGTAGCCCATTAGCAATTTAATGTGTGTGGCAATAATGGTAACAACTAGGCAACATGGTAGACGTGTTAGTCTTCACAAAGGCTAGCCACCAAGATGACACCCACTCACAGTCTTTAGCCTCTGGTCTCCTTCAGACTTTACTGGCAGATCTAAACCTGATGAATTACATTACTGCCACCTATTGTGTTTATTGTGCACTACACTGTAAGTGTTTAACCCATAGCATGCCTCGACAGCTGTCAATTGAAAAGGAACAAAAGAAAATATAGAGAGAGTATAGAGAATGTAGAAACATGTCAAAATGAATATTTCTACCTGTTCTGTCAGGCTCTAGAAATACTGTGGGGAAAGGTTTTCAATTATTTTATGATTAATTCTGTAAGAAAATCCTAATACTTCAGCTTTATGAAAGATTTGCATAAAAGTGTTGGATTCTTAGCTCTGTCCAACCGGTTTTACAGTAGTTCCACATGTATTTGTCAATAGCCGACCCATCTGACCAGAACCAGATTGTTTCTCTGGTTAAAGATTGTTGTCTGAACCTGGAGCAGAACACTGAACTGTGAGTCAGACTGAAAAGGCTGAGCAGACACTTGTGAGCAGGAGAAACGGCAGCAGGGAGACATTTAGATTTGATCACTGAACAGGAACTGGAACTCCTGTTCAGTGATCAGGAATGAGCGGGAGTACTGTAAGAAACCAGGAATGGATGAGCTACAGGGGAGAAGGTGAGGAGGAGGTGGGAGTTTCATAGAGGCGTGTTTGATTTAGCTCTGATCTGACATATGCTGACATTTTCTTTTGGAAATGGCCGGAGGATTGAAGAGTGAGAAACACCCTGGAATCTGCCTCAACATGTGATTTTTGGAGCTTTTGAATGCAATGGGGAAAATACACACACACAGACGCACACGTTTGAACACAGGAAGCTATATTTAATGCTTGATTTACTGTGGATAATTCATATTATTCACAACTGTCAGATTCAAAAACTTTCAAAAACCTAAAGGTAAATACGTATGTAGTCATAAGATGCGTCCAGATTTAGGTGTTTAAAACCACCACCTTGTTACAACATTTACAATGCATTATTTGAATTGCTGATTTATTCCTAATTACACTCAAACACGCGTTTGTTATCAGGAACATTTCCTTTGATGAGACAAAACAAACTTTAACCAGACATTTTAACCAGAAATAGTAAAAATTGAACACAAACAGAATGAAACACAGGTTTGATGAACAGAGGAGAATCAGTGGAGAAACATGTCGCTACACAACACTGGGCTGTGACTGGCAGGATCGCAACTCAGTTGGTACACACACACACACACACACACACACACACACACACACACTGCCACCTCTCTCCGACCCACGGTTCCCTCGTCTTTAGTCCTGGGTGTGGTTTTTGGTCTGATGACCAAGATGGTGTTGGTGTTGGGATGTCAGGGGCGTTATGTGGGCACTGCTGGGATATTTTTGGGACCAGGCTGCTCCTGTCCTCCCCCCGTCCCATTGATGCAGCAGCAGCAGTAGCAGCAGCAGGCGACAGGGTTTGTGGGTAATGCCACCCTTGGCCTGTGGTTCTCCCACACTGTAGCCAGACTGACTGTCCACACTGCTGCTGCTGCTGACCACAGTGCCGGACAACGCACACACTGTGCTGTAGTAAACACTCACATACATAAACAGGGCTGCACTCAGTGACTCTGAGTGAACTGTAAAAGATGTTTAAAATCCATTACCATCTGACTGTCCTGTGGGTGAACGACTTACTGAAGGAACAATTCTGGTTTTTAGGCACACACAGCTGTGTGTGTGTGTGTGTGAGTCTGCTGCCGTCTGTGTTGCTGTGTGTTTTAGCCTATAACTGTGATCATTGATGACTGTTGTTGTCTGTCCAAATGATCTTGGATGAATTGATTTAATGCTGTGGAGGCCAGTCCAAGTTGTTCTTCTCTCCTGAGGAGGTTCTTCACAGACAGAACATCATGAATTCTCTGTTTTTCTCTGTGCTTCTCAGCAGTTTGTCACTAACAGCAGCCGCTGAGAGAACAGACCTTGGTCGGCATCCATTTAAATGTTTGCGAGTAGCGTGATGGTTGGTGGGGAAGGACAGTGAGAAGAGTGGGGAGGGGTAGGTGGGGATGTCTGGGTCCTAAAATAGCCCCCCTGACAGAGAAATGACAGGACAGGTGGTTACAGCTGAAGCAGACTTACTGCTGGCCTTGGAATAACAGAGTGCTGCCATAAACCACCACAAAACCTCGCTCAACAAACTCGGCGCTTATTCTAGACCTGGCCTCCTGCAAAGTGATCGAGTTCACAATGCAAGCAGAGGCACAACGGGATACATGACACAAGCAGAACCAGGAGAACAAAATAGACGTGGGTTTGTTTAGAGCTCAGACCTGAGAGCTGCTGCTGCTGCTACAGTGGTGTTACCATGGACGATGGTGAATGTATAGAGCTCACATTTCCACATTAAAGTCCACTAGAAAAATTAATGATTTTAACGTCACATCACACAGTAAAACTCAATCCATAGCTGCTTCCACTACAGTACATATCCACATGCCATTTTGCGATTTCTTTTTTTTTTTTTTGCAACAATGACAGCAGCTCTTGTATCACTGTGAGCTAAAAACATCTCTTTTGTCTATGGACTTTTGGTTTTGGCTGAAGATAAAAAAAAAAACCTTTACTGTTCCATAGCAGAATTCATAGAGAAAGGAAAACAGAAATAAGTTATATTCTGCTGCCTCTTCTGGTCAGTTTGTGTCACTGCAGAGGAAAAACAGCTGATTTGAAATTGAACCCCCCTCCCAAAAAAAAAAACACTTATTCAAACAAAAATACAAAGGAAGCAGTGGATTGGCCGACCCTGTGTGCTGTAACAAATATGTTGATTTTCTTTAAGAAAATAAGTGATTTATGGAATTTTGGTCACAGAATCTTGTTTAGACTACTTTAGAACATCTGGGGAATATGTTTAGTGCCTTTGTCTTTATGAGGTGTGTTTTTCCAACACGATGTCTCAGGTTTCAAACCACTCACTGCACCATGTCAATGTCCATAGGGAAAATGTGCTTTTTATGAACATGGGTGTCACTGGAAACAGGAGTCTGTTGTGGTAAACTGCATCATTGTCCAAAGATAAATTATTGTTAAACTCGAATAGCATTTGTTATGTATACTAAATGTATATAATTTTTCTATATAAAATCATTAACTGGTTATTGTTGTATGAGGTTTGACAGCCCTGGAGAGTTAGTGATTTTCTTCATGGAGGTCACTTTGAAAGTGGTTTTTGAAATGAGACACACTCATGAGAAAAAGACATGACAGACTCACATCCTTCGACATGACACACATTTGTCAAAGATGTTTTGCTGTCGTGCCATTTATTTCTCGACTGTTCAATTTCTCTGTCTGTGAAATGTTTGTAAGTGCTTCCATCTGTTTGTTGGTTTGTTTTTTTTTGGCACCTCAGGACTTTTCATCCACTGAAGGGACCTAACACAAAATCACAAAGACACACACACACACACATGGCCACACACAAGCACACAGTGAATGAATGTGTCCTATCCGTCTACCTGAGGATCACAGTTTTTTATAGACCACTCTCACCACACACACACACACACACACACACACACACACACCCCTGTGTTGTTCAGTGCATCTGTGCGGCTGATACTGCCTGAGGCTGCAGCTGTAAATAAGAACACATTGTCAGGGCGCTTGTTAAAACACAAGGCATTTATTTTAGAGAAAAATCCACACTTGGGCCACCAGTGCTGCACCCACTGAACTCTGGGAAAACTGTGTTTGATTACAGAAACGCTGCAAGGAGCTGAAATGCTAAAATGCTACAGGGGGAAAGAAAAAAAAAATATTCTCAATAACAGTGTTTCCCAACCAGGGGTTTGTGGACCACTAGTGGGACGTGATAAATTTAAAAAATATTTAAAAGTTTAAGTTCTTGTTTAAAGTGAAATGGTTTCAGTTGTAGTTAAACTTTAAAATTAAATTAAAAAACATTTAAATTAAAAATGTAGTCTTTAAATGTAGTAAGCTGCTGTGCCTGCTCAGTCAGGACGGAGGGTAGGGTAGCCCTGTCAATCAACACAGGATGACTAAAAAATGGTTGTTGTTGCTAAAAAGGATCTGAAATGTTTGTGACTTATGGTTGAAAGGTACTGGAAAAGCCTTAGAAGTGCTTGAATGTAACCTGGGAAAGGTTGTGGTTAGAAAGGTTAGAAGCCTCACAAATGTTTACACCCTGAGTTGAAGACACATCTCTGACCCTCTCTGTCTGATTGTTCACTGCCTTCCAGGTGTAACTATGGCTGGCAGGGTCCCCTCTGTGACCAGTGCCTCCCCTACCCTGGCTGTGTGCACGGCACCTGCACTGAGCCCTGGCAGTGTTCCTGTGAGAAGAACTGGGGAGGTCTGCTGTGTGACAAAGGTCAGCAACACCCCCACTCCTTTGTGTCTCATTAGACCTCAGTTCAAAAGTTTTATTGTTAACATCTGAAATTCTGCACAGTATCACCGACAAACCAATACCAGATAGAGCTGGGTTTTCTTCTTCTGTTTTGGGAGATTGTGGCTGGAAGTGGATTTTATCTCATTTATCTCTGGTTGTTTTAACTCAGATCTAAACTACTGTGGCACCAACACACCCTGTAAGAACGGAGGAACCTGTATGAACACAGAACCTGACGAGTACAACTGTGCCTGTCCTGACGGATACTCAGGGAAGAACTGTGAGATCGGTGAGTCTGAAGATTCCCCATCCCAGGGTTTAGGTCTGAGACCCTGGGGAAAGGCTAATGGTTGGCTTTACTTTATTTGGTTTTAGCCGAACATGCCTGCGTCTCCAACCCCTGTGCCAACGGAGGAACGTGCCATGAGGTTCCATCAGGCTTTGAGTGTCACTGTCCTGCAGGCTGGTCTGGACCGACCTGTGCCAAAGGTACAGTTATATGGAACTGATAGTGTTTTATTATTAATATTATACTATACTGTGTTTTTTGGGGTTTTTTTTTATATATTAGTTTCTTCAAGTCTGAAGTGTTCTTTTATTTCAGACACAGATGAGTGCGAGCTGAGCCCCTGTGCCCAGGGTGGGACCTGTGTTGACCTGGAGAATGGCTTCAAGTGTCTCTGTCCCCCACAGTGGACGGGAAAGACCTGCCAAATTGGTATGTCACTGGATCTGATCCAAACATCAAACAAAAGAAAATAACTGGTTCATGCAGTAAACAGTTTAGGATTCAAGGCTCATTCTTAATGGACACATGATTTTTATTATTTGAAAATGAATGGCTTTCTTCAGCCGAACCCCATTCAAAATATGAGCATTTTTAGGTCACTGTTGCACAGAATTGACCAGACTACACACCCTACCCTACTGACCGAGGCTGCAGGTTCACAGCCCTTACATTGGAAGTTTTAATAAGGCCTTAGGTGCAGGTGACTAGAAAACAAGTGGCCAATTCAGGCTTCAGCTGTTTTAGTGACAACAACACTTTGACCTGTGAGAAACACAGGTCCATTCAGAAAATGCATGCACGTTTGATGAAGCTGTCTCTACAGGTTGTTTTTGTTGTTCCTGGTTAACCATAGTATTCGGGCAGCACAGTCACTAATGTGTGTGTGTGTGTGTGGGTGTGTACGTCTGCACGACATTAACATTCGTTTCATCTGCAACTGGAGCCAGGTGACTCGAGTTAGGCTAAAAATAGACTCCCACCCGGCAACTGCTGGCCTTGGGAGCACATTGACTGGACCGGGGGGGTTACGTTTGGCTCCAGACTGGGCGTGGCAGCGGCAGCGGGGGCCAAGTCTGGCTCCTCAGCAGAGCTGGGTCCTTTAGAAGCTCCTTGGGCAGAGTCAGGAAACCTTTTATAACCTGTAAACATGTGCGAAACGTCAGATGGTCTGAGGGTTCCTGTTGCTCTGTACCTGGGATCAGGAGGAGAGCGGGGGGGAGGGGGCGGGACTTTTGGGAAAGGGGTTTTGTGGTCCGGTGTTTAATTTCATCAGGCCAACAGGTGCCGCTTCACCTCCTGGGAGCAGCATTAATGCTGTGTGTGGCTTTATAGTGAGGCGGGCGCAGCCAGCACTGCCTCTGAAACTGACCACTTGGAATGCCGCAGGTCGGCCTTTAGGGAATGCCGCCGGGAGACATTAACCCTCGGAGTGGGGAAGGAGGGGTGAGGCGCAGGAGATTGAAAAAGTTGTGGTCCTCTGTTTTCAGATGTGAACTTTGACCTCTTAGTGTTCTGGTCATTTTAAGTGTAAGAGTGAAAAGACACTCCAGCCAGGGTTTTTTTAACCACTCTTTTAAAAGTGTTAAAACTGAGACATGGAACTGAATCAGCTCACGGTCACCCAGCAGTTACAGTAGACACATGACACTGACAGTCAGTGTTACAAACCCAAACCTTCAACTCAACTGAAATGTTGCGTTTCTTTTGGCTGTTTTTACCAACCTTTAGTTTCAACAGTTATGGCTGACGTTCTTTACAGCACTTTCTGTAATATATTTTGAAATTTTATGTTTTTACATTTTGTGGCTAACTCTGACCCAGAAAGTTATCTGGGTTTTAAAGTTTAGCTAATCTTTGTGGTTATTTTTCCTGCTGTTGTGGTGAGCGTTACACCTGAGGTAACTTTCCGACAGGTGAGCTGCTGCACAACATCAGACCCTTCACTTCTGACAAGGCTCATAAATCTGAGCAAATAGGAACTGGCAGCTTAAATTCAGGTTCGCGTTTACGATTCTGACATCTGCTGCCAAAAATTCAGAATATGATGTTAGCCTTTCGGCGTTGCTGCTAGCTGCTGTTATAAAAAGTCTGTGTGAAGGAAACTCTGTAAAGCCATTATAGCGGTTTGTCTTATCCCAGTGTCAGTACTAAGATTAGCTTCAGATTTAGGTATTTCTACTTCAGCTATTTCTCATCTCTATAGTATAATAAAATGACTTATTGTTGAACTTAATAAATGTAGCTCAAATTTACGGCTGAGGTTGGCTAATTTTCAGCTTTTCTCTGCACATAAAACAGCAGTTGGATGTAAGCTCGTCCCCCTGTGATCTTTGACCCCTAATATGATGGCTTGATTGTACATGAAGCTTGGTGATGGTGGGCGTGGCTTTAGCTATGTTTCACTCACTCACTCTCTGTCCGTGTTTTTCTGTGTCTATGGTTTCTTAATTTTGCAGACGTGGTTGAGTGTTCGGGGATCAAGCCTTGCCTCAATGCTTACTCTTGCAAAAATCTCATTGGTGGATATCACTGTGCCTGCTTTCGCGGATGGGTGGGCAAGAACTGTGACATCAGTCAGTATCTGTCTAAGAAAAACATGAGATTCTTTCCACCTGTCCTGTTAGCTGCTGTAGCTTCTGTAGCTCTCTCTCTTCTATGAAGCCTGGAGGTTTTGAGTACACCCCGATGTTAATGAAAAAGAGTTTGTCCAGGAATCTTCAAATCTACTTTCCTTCTGCTCTAATAGCTGCCTGTACCTGCTGCACTCTCATTTAGTCTTAAACTGTTTATTTATTTCTTTTGTGTAGATTTCTTCGCTGCAGTTTACATCAATCTCACTTTTTGTTTTCTGAATCTGTCTCTTTGTCTTCTTCTGGGCATGAATTTCCTGAGGATGCTGCATGTTTACACCATCTCTGTGTTGTTCTGCACCTCATGCACCTCCTTAAAGTTTTTACTTTTCCTAAGTGTTGTTGGTTTCACTTTTTTTTAGATGTAAACAGCTGCCATGGACAATGTCAGAATGGAGGATCCTGCAAGGTAAGATTTTAAACCTGCACATTCTGTGGTCTGAGGCACAGTTATGATGTTGATGGATAAATCTGCTGCTCGAATGTCATGTCAAATGAGTTAAAGCAATGAAAAACATCTAAGACATAAATAATATCTGTTTTAAAAGTTAAAGCAATGAAAAACATCTAAGACAGAAATAAAATCTGCATCAACTTTTTTCTTTTTTGTTATGTTTGGTCATCAAATCATTTTTACTCACTTCCTCCTTCTGTGTCAGAATTTGCCCAGAGGTTACCAGTGCCTCTGTCAGCCAGGATTCATGGGTCGTCACTGTGAGCTTCAGAGGAACCGTTGCTCCAGCAGTCCCTGTAGAAACGGAGGCCGATGCCACACCCTGCTGGACGGCTTCATCTGCAAGTGTCCCTCAGGTTTCTCCGGGAGCACCTGTGAGGTGAGGACAGGATTTGGGTGATTTAGAAATTCTGTGACGCTGCTGCAGCAGAAGCTTCACGTCTTTGTTCTTGTCTCGATCCTGAAGGTCCAGGTTGATCCCTGCAGCCCCAACCCCTGTCGGAACAAGGCCCAGTGCCATGGCCTGATGGGAGATTTTTACTGCAGCTGCCCTGAGGACTACGAGGGTAAAACCTGCTCAGAACTGAAAGATCACTGCAAGACCAACCAGTGTGAAGGTAACATAAAAACCAGAGTGCACACATGAATATCAAATCATTTTTGTCTCCGATCCTCAGACACAGAGGTTAAGTTGCTTTAGGTCTAGTTAGCTAGGCTAATTTTCTTTTTCATAAATGTTTTGGCAGTAGTTGACAGTTGCACTGTTGCCGTGGCGACCAACGACACCCAAACTGGGATGCGGCACATCTCGTCTAACGTGTGCGGACCACACGGCCGCTGCATCAGTCAGCCTGCAGGCAACTTCAGCTGCTCCTGTGATCATGGATTCACCGGCATCTACTGTCACGAGAGTGAGTCATTAATAACTGAGAACACACAAGTACCCACAGACACACACCGACTATATTTATCATCATTTACCAGCCCTGGGATCACAGGCTTCTTACAGTAATCCTGATTCACTCATCAGTTGTGTCTCAGTCGGGTTTATTGTGGACCAGAAACTAAATCCAGAGGAAATCATGAGCAGGAAGTCACATGATACAGACTTCTTTTCTAATTATGATCCGTCATCTCAGTTACTCACAGTTACATTGACTTGGTCTGACTCCCAGAGGTTAATACCTCCTGAGGTGGAATTGTTCTGTATTTAGCCACGAATTGTGCACTATTTATTCTCATCAAGTTGAAAGATAAAAAAAAGCGACATTAATAGTCATTTTTGAACAACTCTCCCCCGACTCTGTCTGCAGACATCAATGACTGTGCACTGTTGCCCTGTAAGAACGGAGGAACCTGCATCGATGGAATTAGCTCCTTTGAGTGTTTCTGCCCTGATGGCTGGGAGGGCAGTTTGTGTGACGTGGGTGAGTAAAACAAAGTTTAAACACGGTGGACCTAACCGAGGTGGACCTTCAAAGTCTTTTAATATGTGCACATATGCAGATGATACAACATTTACCATTTAAGTTCTACAATAAATCAATCAAGGTGTAAATTCTCTCAGTTGTTGCTGTCAGCATTTTCTTCTTTTGTTGTTTCGGCCTTATTCTTATTCCTTCTGTTGGCAGTTTTGTCTGTTGTCAGTGGATACAATATAAAGAACTCTGTGAAGCCACTGATTTCAACCTGACTTACTGTGTTCCAGATGTGAACGAGTGCAGCAGGAACCCGTGTCAGAACGGGGGCCAGTGTGTGGACCTGTTCAACGACTTCTACTGCAACTGTGTCAACAACTGGAAGGGGAAGACCTGCCAATCACGTAGGTTTCAAGACAGCACTCTGTAGAGTTTGAATCAGTCCTAACAGTCTGAGATCCCAGTGTCGACCTCAAGCGCATTTACTCAGTGTGACTCAAGTCTACGTTAAAACTCTGAGCCTGACCCAAGTCTGAGTTACAAATGGCTAAACTAAGCTAAACACATAATCAGCATAGTGTAGTAGCTTTTTTGGCTGTTGCACTCAAATGAGTTAATTGGGGAATTAAACCCCCATCTCAAATTGGATTAGTTAATACACATTGAGGAGCGAGTGTGCATTACTTTGCAGCGTGCACGCAAACCTGGAGTGAAACTAGTTTTGCTGCAGAGTGAAAACCATGTTTCCGGTATAATTGATAACTCAGCGTCTCTGAGAAAGATCTCACAGCAACTGAATTGATACACATACACTGTTGTGTAGAATCAGTATTAATATCTGTAAACAGAATGGGCTGTGTGTGATGTCACATCTTCTCATCACATGAGGCTTACTTCAGACTGTAGTGTCAACAGCCTGCAGCCCCGAACAGGCTCGTAGACATTTGTACAAAACAAAATCAGAGCTCAACAAAAGTCCGACTTGAGGATCTAGAGCTGCAGTGTGAAGGTGTTGTAAGTCTGAACCCAGAACCTCCGAGGGCCACATGTTTGAAACAGAGGATTTATTGAAGGCTTTATAGAGGATTTGGTTTGGCTTTAATCAGTAGATCTCATGACTCTCCTCTAATGACTGCCTTCTTTGTCCTCATCCTGACATGTCAGCTCTTATTTAGATTATTTATTGTTATTTCTCCTCTTACCTCAGCTGCTTAATCATCAGTGTGAAGAGCGATGCCTGCGATAGCGTCTGTGCAGGCTTGTTTTTTTGTTTTTTTTACTGTCTCTGCTGTGGGACTGACTGAATCACTGCATACAGTCACATTTACATTAAAAAATATATATGTATTTTAATGTTGTTTATTTCCCCACCATGCTGCTTTGGTCCAGGTGAGAGCCAGTGCGACTCCACTACTTGCAGTAATGGAGGGACATGTTATGACCATGGTGACTCCTTCCTGTGCAGCTGTACATCAGGGTGGGGGGGCAGCACCTGTAACACAGGTCAGTGTTTTCTGTTTAAAAACTTCTCCTGAAATAAAAGGACTTAATGTCACTACATTAGAAAAGAACTGAGAAAAATCACAGCCATAACATTAGTTTTTCTGTCTTTGTAGCCAAGAACAGCTCATGTGACTCCAGTCCGTGTCAGAATGGAGGCACCTGTGTGGGTGGAGGAGACACCTTCACCTGCATTTGCAAAGATGGATGGGAAGGACCGACCTGTGCACAGGGTAGAGTACCAGCAAAATCACAGAGTTTCAGATCTAATCCCTTTAAATTTGGAAACTCTGGTTGGAGTTCCTGAATCAGAAAATTGAACCACCAAAATCCTGTGGTTCAGAAAATTGTGGTTTAGTGCAGTGTTATGTTGACGTCATCAGAGCCTGTTGGGTTTATTGATTTGTGATTCTCTAAGTCTGGTTTAAGAAACACAAGTGATTTATTAGCCTGTTAGCTTGGATTTACTTGAATTAGCTGTTAACAATTTAGTTGTTAATTTGTAATTAGCTGTTAACAATTTAGTTGTTAACTTTTGTTAAATTAGTTTGTGACATGTCAGTCTGACCTAATAACATTTTAGTAATTAGTAGTATTTTAATATTTAAAATGTTTTTAACATATATTACAACTTACAGATATTTACTGTCATAGAACTGTTTATTTTTTAAAGTTTTATAAAATGATCTGCTAAAATATCTGTGTTTTTTTTTTCTTTTTATCTACAGATGTTGATGACTGTAATCCTCATCCATGGTAGGAACCGTTTTTATCCATTAGACAATATTTACTGCCTTACGTCTCCTTCAGTCCAGAAAAAGTTCAGCACTTATGTTCCTTTTGTCTCTCTGCAGCTACAATGGTGGCATCTGTGTCGACGGCGTGAACTGGTTCCGTTGTGAATGTGCGCCAGGATTCGCGGGACCCGACTGTCGCATCAGTGAGTAATGTGGGAAAAAGGGAGGGAGGGGGAGGTGGGAGGGTGGAAGAGGAGGAGGAGGGGTCAGAGGTGAAAGGCCGAGGCAGAGGAAAGGAGCAAGTTGATTGTTTGAGGGCGACAGATTAGGAAGCTTTTGAGAAAGCTGGGTCTTCACCTCTGTCCTCCTGAGCTCAGAGCCCAGCTGGGACAGACGGATCAGTTCACTCTCTCGTGGTCTCAGAGAGAGAGGTGTCAGGAAAAGACTTTTCATGAGCACAGAGGTGAAAATCTGAGGACAAAGTGATCAAATCCAACACAGAGGATCTTTAAAGACAAGCTTTGGAGAGACACAGTGAGGATCCAGAGAAAACCACCCACCCTGAAAGTAAGAACAGACAGGCTGGATCGAGGACGGCTCTCTCTTCTTTAAACAGCCGTTACTGACAGGAGACTGGAGTCTCCGCTAATTCCACTGCCTAACACGCACCACAGTCCAAACAGAACGTTTCTGATTTTAGCTACAATGAACACGGAAGCTACTGGTCCAATGCTGCCCCCTGTGGTCAGTGTGTGTCACTGACGAAAAAGCTGAACAATAAATGTGAAAATGTGAACAGAAGCAGCAAAACAACACATTTGATGCTAGTGGTTGGTTGTTTGTACTCTGTCCTCCTCTGTGTGTCTGTCTCTCCTTACATTCGTCTTCGTGTGTGTGTGTTGTCTCTCAGACATAGACGAGTGCCAGTCGTCCCCCTGTGCTGATGGTTCCACCTGTGTTGATGAAATCAACGGCTACAGCTGTGTTTGTTCTCCAGGATATGCAGGAGCCCGCTGTCAGGAGTGTGAGTGAAACATTCGGTCATTCTTTGCTAACATTTAGGCAGAGTTTTGACCTGATTGACGTTTTATCAATATTTTTAGTTTTACAGCATATGTAACTGCAGCTGCAGTTTTTAGGTTTGAGGTGTCTCTTTTAAACTAACTTTTAAACTAATGTTTAGTTTTACTAGGCTATAATGCTCAACTTTTGTTTCGATTTGTTAACTTGTAGGTATCGCACTAATTCATAAAGTCTAACTTGAAATCTGTTACATTTAGATTAACTGGACATTTGACAAAAACATTCTGAGATTCTGAAATCTTCTTTTTCTCTGATTTTCTCTCCAGATGTTGGACTGGGAAAATCCTGTCATCATGATGGACTTCTGTTTCCTCACGGCAGCAGGTGGGACGAGGACTGTAACACCTGCCAGTGCGTCAAAGGACACGTCCACTGCACCAAGGTCAGCCTCCTCAGGTGTTTAACAACTTAACTGAACAAAGTCGAGCCCTGGATCTCACTGACTCCATGTTGTTGCAGGTGAGGTGTGGCCGTCGGCCCTGCCTGCTCCCTCATGCTCCTCCTACTGCTCCTGCACCTCCTCGTCCTCCTCGTCCTCCTCCTGGTGACTTGGACCTTTGGTCCTGCCCTGGAGGTCATGAGTGTGTGGAGCATCAGTTTCTCACTTGCTTCTCTCCACCGTGTCACCGCTGGGGCGTGTGTTCGATGCCGGAGCCTCCCACTCCTCTGCACACCCAGTGTGAGCCCAACAGTGGTTACCTTGACAACAGCTGCGCTCGCATCACGCTCATCTTCAAGAAAGACAAAGTTCCACAGGTCAGAGGACGTTCTGTTTGGACGTTCAACACTAATTTATGTGCATGTTTTACCATTTCCCATTTTTATTAACTACTGTTGACTTACTTGGGCTAACATTTAGCAATAAAGTACATTATTTGGCAAACCTGATAACTAATGTATATTTTCTGGCTAACCTTTAGTCATCCTAAACTTTTAGACCTAAATATAATTATAGTCAATGATAAAAAGCTAAGTTTTGTCATTGACTGTTTGACTGACTGTTAGTAGTTTTTTCATTATTTATTATTGTCTATTTAAGTTGACAAAGTTGATCAGTTTTTATTGGCCACGGCCGAGTCGTCAACTCAGAAAAGTTGAGCAGAGATTTAAATTTGAGACATTTTTATAGCAAACATTTTTCAGCCAAACTGAATGGTTTCCAGCAGAACAGAACTACTTTTAGACCTTTTATTGCTGTTAAATCATAGAGATAGTAAAGTAAAAGGCTCCAGTTACCAAAACTATTTCCTATTTTCACACCACACTGGCAGTTTATTTTTCACAGCTCAGAACTGTTTCTCCTCTGAGAGCAGTGACAATAACACTGAAAGAGAGTCAGGAAGTATCACTGACGTGGTTCCAGCTGTGTGTGTGTGTGTGTGTATTTCTGCACACTTGGTCCGTGCTGAGCGAGACATTGTTTAAGATTTAATTTAGGATTGGAATAAAAATAATATCTCAAGTTAATGATTAGGATTAGACATACATTTGTAGCAGTGAATATTAGTGTTAGGAGTTGGTGAACAGATAATGTCTATGTTAAGACCTCAGAAAACACAAAAACGGTGTGTGCATGCCAGCAAGCCAGCGAGTGTGTGTGTGTGTGTGTGTGTGTGTGTCTATTTTGCCTTGTCATAAACATAACATGCCGAGTCATGTTCTTCCCACCCTGGTCTGTTAATGTTTGATTGTCTCTGGAATCGCTCACATGGAAGAAAAGTGATTTCAGATGTGTTTAAACACTGAACACACACACACACACACACACACACACACACGTTGGTTGTTTGTGTCTGTCATTAATCATCACACAGATTTATTGTGATTTTTCCTTCTCATTATCATCTACATTCTCTTCTTCCTCTCCTCAGCTGTGTTTCTCCCAAATTTCCGTCAGCTCCTTGTCATGTACACGCATCTCTTCCTCCTCCTCCTCCTCCTCCTCCTCCCTCAGTAGTGAGGCAGGGGTGGTCTGTGACTGACTGCTGTGCTTTGATTTGTGTGCTGTGACAGGGCACCACGGTGGAGAACATCTGCTCGGAGCTCAGGTATCTTCCTGTGACTCAGACTCTGGCTGAAGAGCGAGCTCTGCTCATCCTCTGTGACCTGTCCTTCACCAACAGGGACGCCGTCGAGGTGGCAATGGTAACAGGAGCAAACACACACGGATACACAAACAGTAACAGTAACCTGTAGCTAATTATGCTCGGACCAACGTGCAGTTATCGGAGGACTGACTGTCTCGTCTTTTTCTCTCTCCAGTCGTTCGAGCAGAACGGTCAGTCTCAGGACGGCGACCTCGGTCAGATCCAGAAAGCTGCCAGTGCTGTTGTCGCGGCTCTGTCCAAACGCCACAACAGCACAGTGATGTTAGCAGTGGTGGAGGTTAAAGTGGAGACAGTAGTGAAGTCTCCCCCTGCTGGTGAGTTCTGTCTCCTGTTATGTGCATATCCCAGCGTTGTTTCTTTGTCTGTTCCATGTTTGTAAATTCCTTGCCTTCCTCCTGCAGGTTACCTCGTGCCTGTGCTGGTCGGCGTCTTCAGCATCCTGTGGCTTTTCTGCATTGTGATCTGCATCTGGTGGACACGCAAGCGCAAGAAAGAGCGAGAGAGAGCGTCCAGGACCTCTGAGGACCTGACCGTTAACAACAAGCTGGAGACATCCTGTACCAATGTCCACAAGGACAACCGTGACAGAGACATTCAGTACGAATGCAAGAAACTCATGAGCTCCTCAGAAAGGACATGTGACGAGGAGGGCGGGGAGGAAGTGGAGCTTCGAATGGAGGAGATGGAGGAGGAAGACGAGGACACGCTAGATAAGTGTCCAACTCAGAAGTGCTCTATAGCGGGCACCAAGCAGGACAGGGGGATGATGGGAAAGGCAGGGATGATCTGCACGACACGCAGTGGTCCGGTGAAGCCGCCGCATCGGACAGCATACAGCCACAAGGACAACCGGTGTAAAAACCTGAACGCCGCTAAACTTAGCGAAGACATTAAAGAACATTACGTGTGAGAGGAAGAAAATACTGTCACAGACATTTTTCAAGCACCAAAAGTGAAGATATTTTTTTGTTCCTCACGCTTTTTAATTGTGTTTTCTGCAGCGACGATGGAGACTTATTTACCAAAACGCAAGAAAGACTAAGATAAAGAACAATAATGTGGCGACTTATTGATTCTACCTTTCAGGTCTGGAATCAAGAACTTATTTTCCACAGTATGTGATGGGTTATATTTTCTGTTCAGCAGATGGTTTCACTACAACTAACAATAGACTGTCTATAAGTAATCGACTTAACCATCTAGTTTAGTCACCTTTGTTATTCAAAGGTGACTAAAGTCGACTTTCTCTGGATAAGAAAACAAGGAGCAAATCAGATTTTCAGGGCATTTCACGGCCGATATTTTTAAAATGTCTTAGGTAGAATTAGTAGGTGTTCCACAAGGATCTACTCTAGGACCATTTTGCGTCTTATTTACAGACTGACATGCCCAGACAGGAGACATTCAGATTGCAAATCTCTTTAAACTGACCTTAAAGTTATTCCTGTTTGTATAAATCAAGCTACTGATGTACAAATGTTACTTTCCTATTATTGTTTAGTTTTCTTTATCTGGCAGTCATTTATGCAAACAAAGGGGCATTAGTTAAAGGAGTTCCACAGGTTTCTGTTTTTTCATTTTCATTCCTCAACTTAATCTTTTCATTGAAAACTCAGTTTCCATCAAAAGTCTTTTGCAGATGACTCTCTGTTTATCAATTTGTCCCTGTTTTACTTTTAACTGGATGGTTTTGTCAATTTCTTATACACAATCTACCCGATCGACTCTTAACCGTTTAAGAATTTATCTTGAAAGACATTGGCTGGCAGCTGTTGTTTCCACCGCTCCGTTAGTACTAGTGTTAGCTTCTCTGTCTGCCTTAGCCTGAATCTACAGGACCTTTTCTACACTCTCACTTGTCATTGTTTATATAAAGATTTGGTTCTTAAAAAAAAGTTTTTTATACAGCTCGTTTGTTGGCACTGTATGATACCTGACCTGGAAATATGTCTTTTCTCTTTTTTTGCGCGTTTACATCTTCAAACCTGTTTTCTCTTTTCTTACATATTTGTGGCCACTTAATGTTTAAAGACATTTTCAGTATTTGTTTGGTAGGAAAGTGCCTTCACTTCTTCTGTTTCTCTTCTTTTTAACCTTTGTCTGCGACTTTTTTTATAAAGACACAAAGGGAAATTAAAGACTCTTCCTGCAGCAGTTAGTTTTTTATGTAAAAATGTAAATATAGAAAAAAAAATGGCTGATGTATATTTGAGTTAAGTAACTTAAGTCATGCGTTGTACCATAGTTATTCTAAAAAAGATTGTTTTGTGCTTGTTTTTGTTCTTTTTCTAAATAATGTCATTCCTTTTACCAGTGTCTTTCGCCACTATGACAGAATTTTTTAACAAGGTTTGGGCAAAGTGTTTCCTGAAGTCTGTTAGAAGACTGATCTTATTGTTGTTCTGTGTTGTTTATTTTATTTTGCTGTTGTTTGTTGTCACTGTTGGGCTGAAGGCCACGTCCACACCACTAGGTTTTCAAGGTTGTTTTTAATCCAGAGGCAACAGGATGAATCTGAATTCATTGATTTAAACTGTTTTTACGTTTGAAAATATTTTTTTATAAACAAGGGCAACCAAGTTTACCTCACTCTGTGGGGTACAAAAAGGTTGGAGTAAAAAAAACCTCAACGTCTTGTAATAAATTAGGAAAAGCTGAATGTCCATCACCAGTTTAGTTACCGTTAATGGAAACAAGTGTAATTGTGGGTCAGATCTCTGTCTGGTCTGGATTTACTGAGGACCACCCTACGTGTTTTGCGTCGAAGAGGGACAGCGGCCCATATGTTGTCTTTTTGCACAGTTGGGCTCCTCAGTGACTGAATGTTTGGTTGCCCAGAAAATGCAGCGTTTGGTTCCTCCAAACACTGAGGCTGCTGCTGACTGAAGACATTGGTGAAGCAGACTCTAAGGATTTCAAACCATACCGTAGTGGTGTGGACGGAGCCACAGGGTCTGTGTGTTTCTGAGTGAGTGTGCAACGTGATGAGCAGCAGATGTAAGTGCTTCAGCTTCAGTTGTCCTTCAACATTTCATTTCTTAAGAAACACACAAAATCTCCAGTGCAGCTACCGTCGGGGATAAAATCTTGTGTCATTGTCACAGTTTGATTTTTGTTCTCAAATCTGATGGATCAACAACTTTTTCTGTGCCGCCGTCAGAAACTGAATATCACAGGTGTGGTGACCAGTCTCCATCCACCAACTGTGATTCCAGGTCAGACTGACTGAGTCACTGGGTCCAAATAATTTGGTCTTATTAGCATTGGAGTTGTTTGGTTTTAGAGTCTGTCAGAGTGTGGTGAGAATCCCCTTCAGTTCTTCTCCTTCAGAGATCCACTCTGAGACTATAAGAATTGGGATGCCACCCATCTAGGGATGGCTTTAAAACATTGAGCAGTTTCTGGGCAACAAGTCAATTGGAGAAATTTCCTCTAAACATCCTCAACTAACACAACAGTATCATATCTAGGGATGGCTGAGTAGTACTGTCTGATTTGGCTTATACAGCTGTACAAACAGAAGTACTTTTTTTATACCAATTAGATTTTTCTCTCCACTCTTGTGTGGTTTAAATACATGTACTTTGTGTGCATGTACTTTACTTCCATATATAGAGATGAACAAAACAGCACTGAGTATCCTGCTCCCCTGTAGTAGGATTTACAAAGCCCACAACATGACCCTGATACCTTAACTGATACACAGTTGAACATTTGTTCATTTAAAACAAAATGAATGTCCATGTCTGTGTGAAAGTCTCAATCAACCAGGACCAGGACCAGGGTTAGACCACAGTCCCTCACAGTCTACTGTTTACATGACACATGCTGCAGCAGCTGTTAATGACAGTTTGGGTACGTGGACCAGATCGCTCTGGGTCGTCACATACTACCCATAAGCAGGTCATGAAGTTTTAACCTGTATTGGCCGTCCCTAATTATAACAAAGTGAAAGTGGAAATGACAGTAATTTTGAACCAGGCCTCCTGATCTGACATTAGTGCCTGACCTCACAATGTCAGAATGGTCAAAGTTCCCATGAAACCATTCCTGAACCTGGAGGAAAGTCTTCCCTGGAAGTTAAGGCTCTCACAGCTGTCAATGTCGGCCCAAACTCCATATTTTATTTCTGGATTCAGAACTGGATGTTGATCACAAAAAAATCAAAAATGTGTATGTCCAAAAAGTTTCAAACTTATGGTGTCAACGTTGTGTGGTGTTTTTGGGAAGCTTCATGTCAATGATGAGTTCTGAACTAGTTTTGAGCTCCCTCGTCTCCTTTGTTATCTGTTCTGGTCTAATGAAGGGAACAAAGTTACGTTGCTGTGGCTGACTGACGTTGCTGTGGCTGACTGTCGTTGCTGTGTGCTGTGG